CCGCTCGATATATTTTGCGTCAGCAAAGTGTTTGTCCAGGAACTTCTTAAATTCCGGCACTGAGTTTGCCTCTACTACGTGCTGTGGCAGGTCGTTGCATTCATTCACTACTCTGCGTTCGAAACCGAGTTGGGGAGTGACCCGTTTCAAATCCGGTACGACAAGCTTATACCGGTGTCCTCATGTTCTGCTTGGTATGCGCATATGAAGCAGCGATCTCAACATAGGGTAATCACTCAGATGTAATATCCGGTGAGTCATGATTAGGTCAACCTTCATTCGACGATAAGCTAGGGTGTACAGCCCTAGTTTGTTACACCGGTCTTCGTACGGCACACCACGTAAGTTGGGAATCAGCCTGGTGGCTACATGCTGCACTCGCTCAATCTTTTCTACCTCACCATGGGTGATAGGACGATACGCGGGAGAGCCATACTTTAGCATTGGCCGTATTATTGAGACGAAGAGGCGAGTGGCAATCTCTTCGGACCAAGTGCTGAAGCTGAGCCTGAGCGCCCAAAGCATACGAATGCTGTTTTGGTAAATCCTATTCGTATTGTCCATGGACTTTAAGTCGCAGCGTGAGAGTACACCGAGGTCGCGCACAAAAGGCGCGGGATGCAACGGTTGACCAGCCACTGTGTATGTTCGACTGTGCTCACACTTACTCAGCCTCATGAATTGCGACTTGACCGAGTTGATCGGAAGGTTGACCTCTGCAGACCACATGGAGAGGCGGTCGAGATTCTGCTGAAGCAAATCACAATCATTGGGTGTTCGGATTACTCTCCACACCGTCAAGTCATCTGCGAACAACGCACAATCGGATTGGGGTAGCTGAAGCACATCGTTTACATGGATCAGAAACAAAATCGGCCCCAGTACAGTGTCCTGGGGAATGCTGTTGCTCGATGGATACGAGTCGAGCAACACTTGGCACAGCGGAAAGTAATTCGAAGCTGAATTTAGGGATCACGACGTGTGGTTCGGTTACGACTCGCAACCTCTATGTAGACCTCAGCTCACTTCAAGGTAAAACTCGGTCATTCCGATCTCGAGGACCGTATTTTGGATGGAAATATTTGGATGTTGCTCCACCCATCCCGGGCACACCACAACCGCGTTTTTGTCTTGGTCATAGTGTACGGGGCGAGCGGAAGTAATGAGAAATTAAGTTCTGATTTGCCACGATAACTCCGGTAGAGATTAGATAGCACACATAGCTGAGACAGCACGACGACAGCACAGATTACATAGCCAAGACAGAAAAAACGAACAGAAGAAGATTAGCTGGTAGTTGCCCGGGAAGTAGAAAATGGGAAGAGAAAAGAAAAGATTCAAAAAAAACAAACAACAAAAAGAAGAATTAATCACAAATGATTTAAAAATAATGATCAAGAAAGAGGTGAGCATTCCTGAGAAATCGGAATGACCCACGAGGCAGTTTACTTAAAGTGAGGTCGATGGTCCTCAATAGAGGTTGTTTGCGATCCGGCAAACCAACGGTGTGGAAAAAATAAAATTCTGCTTCTAGTACGTATCGGATGTGGCAAGTAAGTGTAGTATCCGGATCCTCAAAAGCGGTGTTTCAGAGCGTCAGACGCTCAGAAGTTAACTACTAAAGCTCTGAGTTCCACCGCGCGAGAATATCAGCTTACCTGAGGCGGGGAGTTTTCCCCCCCACAAAAAACCACAAGAACCCCCCCCCACGAACCAGCCGCCAAAAAACCGAGGTCGTGGTGAAGATTGCTTCTCCCGACAGTTCGTGCCAGTTTTGGGAACAGCAACACCAATATATCCGGCCAAAATAACCGTCATCGATCTCCCCGGAAAATGAACGAGGGTTTTTTACCATCCCCAAATTGAGAAGGACGTCTCAATAGAGGTGCGAGTCGCAACCTAACTACAGGTCGTCTCCCTAAGAAAAGAAGATAGAACGCCTAGATATATAAGAATTAAAGAAAAGAAAAGAAAAAGAGAAGAATTAGAAAAACGCTGTGCCAAGTGTTGCTTGCGGATCTCAAATGCATAGCGTTCCAGGCGTCAGCCATGAACTACGAAGCTCTGAGTTCCACTCCATTCTGGAAAATCTGAAGATTCTGGCATGTGAGAGTACAAAGCTTGCGAGAGAATTCCTGGAATCATGGTACTCCACAGCTAACCAAATTAAACAAAACGTTGAACTGCAGGCAGCGCACGCCACATTGGTGTCGAGAAATTACGTGGTAACGCTGCCCTCAACCCTGCTCTCTGCCCTGCCAACCTAGGCGGGAAGGAAACAAAACATCGAAGTCTGCTAAACCGAAGTGTATCAGGAACAGAACCCGGTTAATTTGGGTAACATGCTATTACCTCCGGCTACACGTTCCTGAGCTGATTCACACCATTTGTCTGGACAGATACCAAACCTGCTAGTGTCCGCACTGGTCAGCTGTAGTTGCACCCACTCACGTCTGTCGCGTAGCAACCTGTCATGATGACGGACTGATTTCATCAGCTTCCCACGTGACTTGCCGGACGCCACTATACGTCTCGAAACCGTGTCACGTTCTTAGGTTGCGGCCTCTGAATAGATCGCCAGCCTAATCGAGTAAATCCGGTGGGTCAGAAGACCAGACAAACGGAACGGGCGACAAGAGTAACTAGACAAAGGCCAAGGTGCATAAGGAAGTCAGGCCCAAAACTAACTTACTCGTCCAACAGGCATAACACAGACAGACGTCCCAGTCAGTAGGATTGCTCGTCTATGCGATCAAACACGGACATATATAAAAACGCACGCACGCTTTGTTCGACGCGCTATCATCCAGGCTTCCCCACGCTAACCAAAAACGCACTGATGATGTCACCTCGCTTGGCAACAAAACGTCCGCAACGAAATTTCCAAACTCGGGGAACAGTTCGATCGGCACCAGAGCAACACGAACTACCGATGTAGATTTTAAATCTATTGAGCTAGCAGATTCGTCCAAGGACAAAAGAGCGCAAATCTCGAATATCCCAATCAAACATGCAAGGACATAGAACGATCCTATCTGGAGCAGCTTGACACGTGTGAACAAAGCGATCATAGTTAAAAGAGGCAAAGACAAGGCATCAAATGGAATCAATGTGCAGGATAAGTATAAGGTCTGCTGACACAACTTTGGAACGCAAGCCGGCGTTTCATTCTGTTCCTTAAACTGACAGCCTTTATGATAGCGTCCTCATTAGGTTGTAACCATCCGCTCAAAATTTCGAGACGACTCCGTGTTCCAATGAATTCTACTCAGATGCCATGTTTCTCGGGCAGAAGGTTGACAGCAGCTCGTGAATCAAGTTGGAGACGAACTGGTCGTCCTTAAATAAATCGTATTATGGAAATGCAATTCCGATTTCGATGATGCTCCATGTTATTTACTTGAAACTCTTGTGTGACTTATCGACTCACTGTCTACCGAGATCACCATGGCGGATCGACAGTAATGAGCAAATTGTTTTTTATCTATACGTTTAATGCACGACCGGCTCCAAATGGGATAGTTCTCGTTGAGCCTATAACCACGAAACTAACCATTGGGCTCCGGTTGCTCAGGTGACTGGGACGGAGTTTTTCCGGTGTTGGTTACTGTACGAGGCACTGCTGTTGTTTTCGCTCGCAAATGTCGAAATTTCCTAGCTGTTCTCGCTTCGCTAAGGCAGATTTCAATACATTGATTCATGGTTAAGTCCCTCTGCCCAAGAAGGCATCGAGTGAGAACGTCACTTGTGACGATATCGATGCAGTAGAGCACAACAGTCGCAGAAATAACAAAGTTGTGGCAGAATCTTCACTTCGTAATGTATAGCACCCGGTAAACGACTGCGACCAAAAAGCAGATATCTCTGGTGTGTCTCGTTTGGTCGGTATTCCTAGTATTCGCCAAATCCATAGATTATTTCCGCAAGTTAGTCTTAAGAAGTCTAAGATTCGCCACGCTACATGCTTGAAAATAGCCAGTTGGTGCGGCATCGGATGAGAATCCAATTCCATTGGTGGAACGAAGTTCGTATCACTGGTTTTCCACATTCAGTAACGTGCTTTCCGTCAACTGAAGAGTAGTCGGCAGTAGAATGGACAGGTGTCCACTAAACGCGAGGAGTAAAGCGTATCGGCTTCTCCTCCTCTGTCGCTTGCAGTGTAGCCATCCAAGAGTCGCTCAGAATCTGCTGTTCGTAGAGCAAAGCATCGTTTAAAATGCATATAAATTGGGTGCGCTATTTGGTTACCACAGCTTCACACCGGTCACTTTCACGAGTTTTCCGCCGCTCGTCTATAGTGATCCGTACGTTCTGCTCTTTACAATTCATATCTGATACGTCTTGTCATGTCTCGACCCGTCAATTCTCCCTTATCTCTCGAACCAGCGCGCACGCTTCGTCCTAGTCAATCAGATTCCCCGTTGTTCGTGACAAAGATGCGTTTCGTACCTTCTCGGCTGAGTCAAACCCGAATTCTCTCTGGATTGTCCACGTGTGACCAGTTTGAGAATAGAGCAACTGATTGGCCCCCTACCTGCTATACTGAATCGATTAAATTAGCTAAAACGCCCAGTTATTATCACGTGTTATGAGCGATTTGAGGCGCACGGGTGGACGGCTGCGCTGTGAATCTTACGTATAACAGTAGAGTAAATATGAAATAAATGGTTTACTCCCTTAGATTCATCGTCACTAACGTACTGATATCGGCCAGAGGTGACCGCACCACAGGTGATCGAGACCATTTCATAGGCCGTATGCACTCCCATATATCGATGACATAAAGACCCGGTGGGTCGCTATCAACACAGATTGAGATCAGACTACTGTAGTATCCCTAGAAATGCTGAAATAGCAGTGCAAAAACACAAGATATCATACTACGGAAAGGTACAATAGGTTCACAGACTGATATGGGGTGGATTAATAGATCTGTTGTGTCATTGGTCTATGCAGTGACAATACCTGACAAGCACTAGTGTTATTATTACAACAGAATGTCAAATATCGTTATCAACGGAAACTAATAAAGTGGGAATAAGCATCGCGACAGTGAGAAGAGATGAGTAAGCAAAGGAAGACAAGTAAGGATTTCTGTCGGGATCGTTGCTGTTGACAAACGCGCGAACAAGATACAGGTCCATGAATTGGTACGCGTAACAAGGGATCCGAAAACCGGTGTTTGGTGCAAAATTCAAATGCTTGAGAGATCTAAAAAATATGATAGAGGCATAAGTTTGGTTGTAAACAATTGGTTTTGTAAAAGTAGGTGAATGTCAGAACCTGAGGTAGGAGTTTGTGATTATATGTGCAGCGGAAAAAGCGGTAGGATAAAAGGGCAGCATCCATGAAGAAAACATAACAGGGGTAATGAAAAAAGAAGAAAAAGCGCCTCAAAGGTTACGGCACACAACGCATGGTTAGCGAACATGAGACTGTTAAACGGCAGAGTATCGCTTGCGTATCCACAAAATCATGGAAAACAGGATTATGAAAAATGCCTCACTATATATATATATATATATATATATATATATATATATATTGCATTCTTGATGCTTCTTCACCGCAGTTGGGCTAAACCAACTTACACTTAAACTAGGTTGCTTTAAGCTGCATAAATTTCATTCCACTTTATTTGGTTTGTTTTGCCTATCTGAATAATCTTCTATTAGCTGGCCACGTCCATCGCAATGAGGCTGGACCTTACCGTGGTGCTATGGTTTGTGTGCCTCAGTGATCCATTGAGCTATACTGGGTGGTGCTTTTGCACCTTCAGAGACACATACCAGATTGATCAATGGTTAGAGGCCAGACAAACTCAGCCTCCTGGTCCTCCAGGTTGGGGGTTGGAATGAGGGTGGCACCTTATTCCTTAAAACGGACTCCTTGTAGCCCAACGCCAAACCCGCTGCCTTGCGGTCAGGTTTTTGAACCAAAGGCTTTGGTTGAGAACCCTAATCGTTCTCCTGTCTAGGCCTGGGCAACCTGACAGTATCCTGCCCACGCAATACCATGAATTACTAGTGAAACTGGCCACCGCAGAGGATAATCAACGGTGCCCTATCTGCTGCATCGGGCAGGATGGATAGGGGTTTGGATGCTACTGCTCAAGCCTTCCCGTCTTCTTATTCCCCATCTTAAGCTTTTTCACTCTTACCGTCCCCTTCCAACTTCACTTATATGCTCGCTTATTTCTTGCGAGTAATAATTTCCGACACAGCACCCGCCGGAGGATGACTTGGCGCCCACCAGCCTCGAACCAGCCTTGGACGCAGATCGATCACATTGCTATTAGTTACCGCTGGAGAGGCTGTACCCAGAATTGTAGCTCGGTTTGGAGCACATGTGTGGACACCGATCATGCACTTGTATGTGCTGACATGCGGATGCGCTTTGGCGGACTCCTACGACGACGCTGTGAGCGCATTGACACCAACCAACTGGCAAAGCCAGCTGTTCTGAATGCGTATCAAAGTACGCTGACATGCGAGTTGAGTACTCGCTCACTGGAGACAATTGATGGTCACTGATCACATGTTCGCCAGACCTTAGTAGCAGCGGGCAAATCTTCATGTGGTATGTCTAAAAGCCAACATGGACATTGGGTCACTTCACAGTCTCTGGAACTTATCGACGCTCGCTGGCGTATCCCGGCTGGAAGCGAGCACAATGAAACTCGCAAAGAGCTCCGGGCAAAACTCCGCGCTAGCCTGCAGAGAGACCGCGAATCTTGGCGGTCTCATCGTGCGTCAGAGATGGAAGTGACCGCTGCCCTTGGCAACCATCGTAAGTTATTCCGTCTGATACGGGAAACGGGCAGCAGGAGACCTGGTGTTAGTGAAACAATTTGTGATGAGAGTGGACAGCCTATTCACAATTTGTCAAAACGTTTGGAGCGTTGGGCTGAGCATTTTGAAAAGCAATTTAATCGGCTAGAATTGTTCGATTCTTCGCCGGCGAGTGATCGCCCTGCTCCGTGGGCTGTTCCTTTGGATCCACCCTCTCGCTCAGAAGTCGAACGAGAGATCGGACTGTTGAAGTTGAACAAAGCCGCGGGACCAGATGATCTTCGTCTAGCCCTCTTCAAATTCGCAGGCTCTGCTCTTGTTAATGCTTTACATGAATTACTAGTGAAACTGTGGGAGCAGGAAACTGTCCCAACCGACTGGAGCCGCTCCGTTATTGTTCCCATCTTCAAAGGCAGCTCGCGCTCGGAATGCGGCAACCATAGAGGAATCAGTCTGATCTCCATCGCCTCCATAATTCTTCACAGACTGACTGGCGCTCGTGAAAGCCAGTTTCGTGAGGAGCAAGCCGGGTTTCGTTGGGGTCGTGGCTGCACTGACCACATCTTCACCTTGCGTCAGTTGTTGGAGCACCACCACACATATTGGCGGCCCACCGTAGTCGTGTTCCTCGAGATCAAAGGTGCCTTCGATTCGGTTGATCGATGTGCTCTTTGGAATTGTTTACTCAGGAAAGGTGTGCCCGAGAAATATTTAAATATTATTTAAGCATTACATGCGCGTAGCACGGGCAGAGTGAAGGATTACGGCAAGCTGTCGCCACGCTTTAATATTTCCAGCGGTGTGAGACAATGATACCCGCTGTCACCTTTCCTCTTCAACTTCGCTGTTGACGAAGTCATGAAGTTTGCATTTACAGGACATGACTTGGAAGGTGTGGAGCTACTCCCAGGAGAACGACTTCTTGACTTGGAGTATGCAGACGACATTGCCCTCATCTGTGACAGCTCGCAGACGTGCCAAGCCGCGCTGGACAGATTAGCACTGGCTGTCAGTCGCTTCGGGCTTGGCTTTGCACCATCGAAGTGCAAAGCGCTCCTCCAAGATTGGCAGGGATCGCCTCCTGCGCTGACCCTTGGTGGGGATCAGCTAGAAGTCGTTCCGAAATTCAATTACCTGGGAAGTTGTATCAGCGCCCTTTGGGATCGAAGACGAGATCACGAACCGTATAGCGAAAGCTCGAAGTGCTTTTGCTAACCTTCGCCACCTATGGCGGCGGCGCGACATTACTCTCGCCCTGAAGGGTAGAGCGTACAATGCAGCGGTACGTTCGACCTTACTGTACGGTTGCGAAACCTGGCCCCTAAGGTCGGCAGACATGAAGAGGCTAGTTACGTTCGACCATCGGTGCCTTCGCAGTTTGGCTCACATATGGTGGGAACACCGCGTGAGTAACGAGCGTGTTCGATGCATTGTTTACGGCCCAGGAAAAGGATCTGAACCACTCAGCACCGTTATTTCCCGCCCCAGGCCCCGATGGCTCGGCTACGTGTTACGCATGCCAGCCCACCGACTCCCTCGACGTGCGTTGTTTGCTCACCGGGGATGTGGGTGGAAGAAGAGGAGAGGTGGCCAAGCGATGACTTGGTCCAGGGGAATGAAGGCCCTCACTTCGGAGCTGGCCTCGGTTGGAGCGTCACGGCTCCCTGGTTGGGGTCCGAAAGACGGTGAAGACGTTTGGCTGGATACACTTGCTGACATGGCAAGGAGCCGACCTCAGTGGCGTTCATGTTGTGAGTTTCTTGGTCCCTCCCCATCCCATTTAGTCTCCCCTTCCATCTGCCATCTCATTTCCAAGGGTAAAACATAATATTTTTTTCTTTTTGCCTAGTAGCTGGCTGGAAGCTTACCGGAACGATGCCTATCCGTTGCTGGTAGCTCAGCTGGCATGCAACTGTTGTATCTTTTTTCCTTTGTGTGTTGTGTTATATGTATGTATGTATGGCTGCACGGCTGCGTGATGTGGACTGCATAGCCACAGTGGGCAACCTGTGGCACCACATTCGCGACCAGGTGACAGCTGCTGCCGAGGAGGCCATCGGGCGCGCAAACTGTAAACGGCCTGATTGGTTTGATGACAACAATGTGGCGATTGGCGCATTGGTGTCAGAGAAGAATGCAGCATTTGCTGCACATGTGGCAGACCCCAGTGACTTGGGAAAGAGTAATCAGTTTCACAAACTTCGATGGCGACTGACCCGAGAGCTCCGTCGCATTAAAAATGCATGGTGGACGGAGAAGGCGAAGCAGATGGAATGCTACGCCGAACGCCGTCAACACAAGGAATTCTTTGACTCCTTGAAGGCGGTGTATGGACCGAGATTGGAGCCGCTCCGTCGCAACGAGACTGGACCTTAACGTGGTGCGACGGTTTGCGTACCTCATTGACCCATTGAGCTATACTGGGTGATGCCTCCGAGCATCATGAGAGTTATTCCTACCAGGTTGGTCAATGGTTAGAGGTCAGACAAACTCAGTCTCCTGGTCCTCCAGGTTGGGGATTTGAAATGGGATAGCGTCCATTTCTGTAAAACTAAATCACTGCCACCCCACTGCCTTGCGGACAGGCTTTTGAGCCAAAGGCTTTGGATGAGGACCCTAATCGTTCTCCTTGTCTAGGTCTGGGCGCCCTGGTAGTATCCCAGCCCACATACAACCATGACATTTTCTTCAAACATAAACTTCATCCTGCATCGGCCGTCGCGCAGATTATCAAGGGTCGCCTTATCTGCTGCATACAGCAGGGCGGATAAGCGAAAGCATGCTACTGCTGGCGCCTCCCTTCTTTCTTTTCCACCTTTTTCTCTTACTCCCATCCCGGCCCCCATTACTAACCTTCCTTCTATAATTCCCAGCTTAATTGACAGCAACCGAAGTGCCACTGGAGTAGTTCCATCTGCAGCCACAATCCCACCGCACCTATCGGCAAAAGTTCCTTATAAGGCCACGCTGTCCCGTTTCCATGGCGACATTCAACGTCCGCACTCTAAGACAAACAGGTCAGCAGGCTGCACTCGCACGCACCTTGGACACACTGGGTGTTGATGTGTGTTGTGTGTCCGAAACTAGGATTAATGACCCTAACGGTTATTGAATTAACTGCACCCGGCTTATCCTCTCGTTATTGGTTGCACGCATCCGGAGACGCCGATGCAGCACTCACTAGTCAAGCTGGTGTAGGTATCATTCTCAGCTGCAAGGCTGAGCCATCGTTGGTTGATTGGATTCCGGTGAACAGCCGTTTATGTGCAGCCCGTTTGACGACATCAGCTAAGGTGAATTCGCGAAGTAAAACAAACGCTGTTTGTTTGTGATTTCTGCTTATGCTCCCACGGACTGCAGTTCTAATGCAGTCAAGGACACTTGCTATCACGAACTGAACGCGCTACTACGCAGTGCTAC